ACCGGGACGGACTGACTAATGTTTCACATTCAAGTCTGAACTGCACCTGTTGGCACCAGAGCCAGGTGTGCAGGAGCAACAGGCCCACGGTGGCACAGGGCTTGAATGCCAAACAAGACTTTTCTTTTTCACTTTCCTCCTTGATTACAGACTGAAATGTCCTTCAGAGCAAAACCAGATGCACAGTGTCATCGAGGTTTCTGTCCACCATCGATAGCAGACGTTGAGTTTTCTGCCTCCAGCTGTTTGCAGGAGTTTTTCCTCTGAGTGTGATGAAGACGTTCAGCATCAGACGGCAGCAGGTTACAAAGAGGAAGACACAGTGAACAGCAGCACGATGCGTTTCATAGTGTAGTGATCAGTGTAGACTCTCCCCAACATGGAGACGTGATCTCAGTGTTTAACCTCATCTGACTGATAACGAGCCCATCTGATGTTCATTACTGCTTGTTTTGTAATTAATGTCAGTCATTGATTCGTCCTTCTTGTTCATCGAACAAACAGTTGTTCTGTGTTTCCAACACAATCTCCACAAAACAACCTTCCTGTGCCACAAACCTCCAGTCCAGGTCGTAAAGTCCACTTAGAGAAAAGAGTCCATAAGAAGAGCGTGTAGGGAGGCCTGAGGCGTGGACCACAGGTCCGGTTCTACCGTGAAGAAAGAACCACCATCAGTGTCTGAATTGGGTTTCACTGTCTGGTTCTGTGGAGTGAAAACATCACACTGAGAATCCTGCTTAAGTTTAGGCTAAGAAACCTTCTGGTTGTGGTTGGAGGCGTGGTTCAGGCTAAAGCTCGACTCTTCAACTACTTAAAGTGTCTCCTCTGGTTTCTGGTTACCATGGCGACAAGTCCCATCTGATGTATGATTGGTTGGCTGAAAAGAAACGACAGATAAATGGGAAAGAAGACATTGATTAGACACATAAGAAGATCCTCCAAACCAGCAGGCAGCGGCCAGAATCCACATCATGGAGCTTCTGTATTCTGCATATGATTGAATTCAACAACCAGACAGGAAGTTGTTTGTTTGCTGACTGAAGGTAATAAAGTCGTTTTACTCTTTAGTTTTCTAGAAGCTCGGGGAAAAAGCAGCACAAGTGAGGAGACGAAGGCCTGGAGCCCAAAAGCTTGATGTCGTGGCTCCAGACGGGCCGGAGGAGCAGCTCTGTGAAGCTCTGAACACACTGGACTGGATCAGTGACTCAGGAGCTGCACACCGTCCAGGTGCATGAACCTGAAACACAGCCGCCTCCTGAGATACAGCCTTCTGGGGCACGAGCACCACCTTCACGTGCACGCTCCTGGCCTTTGTGGCTGCAGCCTGTTACATCATCCGCAGAGGAGTTTATCAGCACCGATCAGCTGCAGCCCCAAGACTCTCAAAGGCTGTTTTGTCTTCCTCTGCCTGAAACTCCCTGAACCCACAGTTACCTTCCAGCGGAGAGGATTTGTTTACCGCCGGCTGAATTTGCAAGTCTTTATCACAGCAGCGAGGGAAGTGTTTTACACCGACTTTATCAGGAGACTCTCAGCCGCTAATCCAGGCTGCTGCTGCTTGACCAACTTCTTCTGTTGTGTTTACTCAGTCGGAGCTGAAAGAGGCAGAAATTATGACGTGGTTCGATAAGACCGATGCTGGTGATGATCTTATCATTTAATTCAGGTGGTGGATGAGTGTCCAGGTCAACACAGGAACACTTGATCCATGCAGCAAACACACTCCATACAGAGATTATCTCATGATGTCTCAATAAAAACCGTCTGTTTTAGTTTTCTGGTCCCTGAATCTGACGTATTTACATGTACCAGATAAAAGAGTCAACACAGTGAGAATAAACCAAAAGAAGTGACTCAGACTTTAGAGGAGCTTTAGTTCAAACAGCAACATGCAAAATGTCAAAACTCATGTTTGTGTTGCACCAAACGTTGTTTCTGTGTTCTAACCGCAGCTCACTGGTTCTGTTCCCAACACTTCACTCAAAGCAGTACTGCAGAATCAACGTGCTGTGATTTAGATCAAACTTTTAGGTTCATAAACATCTTCAGCTGTAAGCATGATGCTGGTGGTGGCCGTCATAAGGCTGCTTCAGCTTCCAGTCAGATCTCTGCATCAGCTGCTTTCAACTCCATTCTAGCTGCAGCACCTTCATGAATGAGTCCTGATGTCCTGGTGCTGTCCAGCTGGAGCTGAGGACTTGGAGCTACTAAACCCTCCTGGACACTTTCACACAGTTCAGACTGTGTGTTAGAAGCTGCAGGATGAACTAATGTGATCCAGAGGA